TATGGAATTAGGTCATTGAAGAAACCAGAAGCAGCAAGGGTAGGGGAAACAACTTTTGGTACTACAAATCTGGGCCCAAAGGTACACATTTTGCAATCTTTAGGTTTTTATTCCTTGTACTGTTTTTTTATCTACTTGTATTCAAACCGCATTAAGAAATGTATTTGGGATAGCTCATGTAATAAATAAATTTATTACAAGTAGGTTTTCTATTTAACGATAAAATGTTTTTCTTCTTAAGAGAACAAATCTGCTGCTTTCTTACTGGTAAAAGCGCTTATTTCATTTTCCTTCCAAACATGTCACCTCAAAAGTTCCACTAGTACTTCTATTTCAAGTAGAAGTGCTTTCCTTCCTCTAAAAAGCACTTATTCTTTGAAAATAAGTCATTCAAATGCACTCTAGTACTGTGCTTGGTGCAAATTTTCACTATAAACCTGTGTGGCCAGCTGTCAAGAGATGTCAAAGATGATTCGGGACGTTCTTCAAGCGGTTCGCCACGTATTGGATTCTCTAGGAGCTCTAGTAGAGTATCTGTTCAGGGGGATTTTGATGACTATGATTTTTCTTGCCCATTTGTAGTTGATGATGTTGATGCTCCAAATTCCACAGCCAGGTACTTTTTGCTTCATGTTTATCTCACAAGCTCTAGACTCCCTTTATACTTATTGCCCTTTAGTACTGTTTTACTCCATAACATTCTGAGTATCAAATTTAAAATAAAAAAAAATTATTAGTAAACAAACCTTGAATGCTTGTGAATTGTTTAGCCTTCAATTCCATGTTGGGATGTTATTGTGGATCAAGATCCTTCTTATTAATGGATCTGTGCCCTTTTTATATACTCCGTGTGTTTTATAAGGAGTCTGATATATTGTAGAAGTATATAATATGAAAATTCTTAAATATTTTATAACATTGTAAGAGTTGCATACATGTTTACAAGAAAATGAAAACATGAAATTTCCTGTTTCCAAGTACGGAGCAGTATTTTCAAAGTCTTATCTTGTGTTTGTTGACAAAAAGCGGAACGGATATTATTATCAAGCCACTTATTTCCTTGTTATGAATCTCTCTGTTTCTTTTGTTATAAACAACTTTGTTTAAACATGATACCTTTACCCCTCATTCTCAATGGAGCTAAAACAGTCATTATTGACAACATTTTAGTTTCGGGTACATACAACAACAATAACAACAACCCAATAGAATCCCATGAGAGTATGCTGACCTTACCCCTACTCGAAAGTAGAGTTTCGGGTACATAATGGACTAAATAGAAATGGAACATTTAACTTCTCTTGCTTCTTACTTTCTGTGAGGTCTTGGGCAGTAAATGTAGCAATGCATCTAGGGTCTAATGGAAATAGCCTCTCTGATTTTACAGGGGTAGTATTGTGTACATCTTGACCTCTCATACCCCAACGGAGTTGGGATTATGCTGGTTTGTTGTTGACTTGTTAAAAAAATGACGCCTTTGGTTTATTAAGAATGTGCTTTAAAAATATCTGAGTTCAAATTCGTCAGGATATATACCACCATCTTTTCGATTTATTTCCAGTTTTACTTCTTATTACATGCAGTCTAAACCTTGACAAGAAGGTGGATTCAGAATCTCCATCACAGACATTTTTTGGAACCAGAAAAACACAAGAGTCTGAGGTTGGTGTGCTTGTTCAAATGCTGAGGACTGCTCCCCCTTTGCGCCAAGATTCTAGCTGTTATTCCACATCTTCTGCAAATCCCAATCTGGAAGGAGAGGATTTGACTTCTTCTTTTGACGGTTCTGCCCCTAGGAAGGTTTCAGATGCACTGGAGGAGCTCAAAGCTTACAAAGAACTGAAGGATCTTCTTCTTTCCAAGAGTGCATCATCAACTCAATCCGCTCGCCAACCAGAATCTTAACATGCTTTAGTTCTCCCACCTTGTTGTACTATAAACTGGACATAGCTTAACCAAATTGTGTACATAGTTAAAAACGACGTGTAGTCATCTCATTAGTGAAAACAGTGCCACAACTTGTTGCTGGGTCATGAGGTCACGGGTTCGAGTTCTCAAAGCAACCTTTTGCAAAAAAATGTTAGATAAAGGTTTGCTGACATCGCACCCTTACGGTGGACCCTTGCCCAGGCTGATGACTACTGAATTGGATGAATGGTTTCTGAAATTGTACTAAAAAAAGTTTCTGAAATGTGTTGTATGAAGGCTAGCTGAGTAGCTCTCCATTTCCACCAAAACATTCAGTCTAGTGCATTTTCCTCATTCTTGTCTCTTAGCCTTGTTTGGTTGGGGAATTCTGAAGGGAAAGAAAGTGGAAAACCACATAGAAAGATTAGACCAAACAAGCCCTTAACTCTTGAACTATGTTTGAAAAGATGTGTTGTTATGGAAAAAAGAAAAGTACAGAACTATTTGCAAGTTGGTATTAAAAATAGATTCTCATCAAATATACAGAGTATCTAATTTATGCTTGAGATAGGAGTACCTCATGTTCACATATTGTATGGGCATATTTGCATTAAATTATTCATTAATGATACCTCAATTATTTGTGTTTTTATTCTTAAATAGTATTCCTCCTCTCATTTTCCATTAATTTCAATCTCAACACATTATTATTACTCCCTCCGTCCCGTTTTAAATCGTCTATTTTGACTTTTGGGCATATTTAAGAAATAGAAAAATTAGAGTTGATTTTTCGAAATTGCTATTACTTTTTAGGAGGGGTGACGATGATGAGAAGATTAGGTGGAGAAAAGTGATTTATTTTAAAGGTAGTTTAGGTATTTTACTTTTAAAAGTTACGGAGAAAAAAAGACAAACATACAATTTAAAATGGGACAGATGGAGCATTAGTGTTCTATCTACTTCCTTTGTTTCTTTCACGTTTCTTTTTTAGATTGTCTTAAAAATTCTTCCAATTATTTTTTAATAATTGGATCGAGTCAATTGTGTAACCTTATTATAGGACTAAAGGGATAGTGATTTACTTCCATTTTTTCCTACACAAAACAAACTTTTATTTTGTGTTAATTATGATTTGAAAGTAGGAGGAAGAAGACAAGAAAGAACCACTTGAGGACCTAGGTAGGGAGATAGATGTGTATAGTCTTGTTAGTTAGTGACTTTATTAAGTCTTCAATCTTCATCTACAAATCTTATCTTGTAACTCATTATATTTAATTTGTACACAAATTATAAACCAGATACCCTAATAGTTCACACTGTTACACACTTTAGTACGATCAAAAAATTTTACAATCACTTTGTGCAAGTATTAACAATTAAAGATTCGGTGCAAATCTGTCGCGTCAATCACTCATTTGCACCCCCTACGAACCTTTGCTTTCGATTTGTTATTAGTGATGTCATGTTACTTTTTTATTTTGTCACAATAATTTTTTTTAGCTTGTCCGAGACTAATTCTAACCACGTAAAAAGGGCCACTTGCCCCAATCATAAAAACACTATTTTCAGATGTAAAATGACAAATCTCTTCGTTATAAACTTTATTCCCAAATTGAGTTCTCATCTACTCATTTTTTAGACAAACTTAAAATAATGAAATTGTGCAAATGAATTGTAATGAAACGGGAGCTTTAGAACCTAATTTAAAGATAAAAAGAATACTTCGTGTTTTATGAAACTTTAGATAGTCTTTTAATATGTAAATTTTATTAATTATTCTTATACCAATTTAATATAAACTAATATTAAAAAGTATAAATTTTTATCTCATAAATAAAAAACCATAATGGACGGGAGTAAACCAAGACGAGTTTGGGTCTCAATATTGGTTGGAAATGGGAATTTCGCATGTAATAACAATGCAATTGATGTCTCACATAGGAGGAACTAAAAGACTCATTATAGCGACGAGTTGTTCTATTGTGATTTCAAAGTTCACATGTGAAATGCAGACATTCTCACATATATTTTCATAAACTCATAATTGAATCTCTATCTTTTAGCAAGACCCATTACAAATAACTATTTTATATACTAAAGTCTATAAAACGAGTATGAACTTAAGTACTATGAAAGAATTTGCCTATAGAAAGAGCGATATATAGAACGATTAGAATCCACTCCATCTTGATCCCTTCCAATCTGCTTCTCATATACCCGGTAAAACAGAGTATTTGGTTAGCTCGAAATTATCAATGGTTTACATCAAGAGTTCATCCAAATTCCAATGACATGTCAAGTGACTTCACTAATAAAAAATATTAGACCCATCAGTGTGGGAGCTCCCTGATGGCCAGGTGGCACCACATGGGCGTGGAACATCGCCCCCTTACCCTGACCGTGATGGAGTGATGGCCACCACAGTCACCACGACGCTTTCCCTTCCCAAACTAGCCGTTGAACAGCTAATTTTTCAATTTTTTTCTTTTTCCAAAATCCTTGTTTAAACTCCCCTCACCCCTTTTAAAAATCACACCTCCTCTCAATATATTCTCTCTATCTGTTTATTTTTTAATTTCTCTAAATATTATCAAAAGTCATATTATGGATCCCAATTATTTGCAAATTCTCGAGTGGTTTTCTAAATCTATCACAAGTTCCGTGAACGACCGGACCGACACAATCACAAGTTTTTTTCCAGTTTTGAACTGTATCGCTCTTATTTCCTTTTTTAATATTATGTCCATGTAATTTTAAATTTGAATTTTAATATTTATTTAATGATTTTCTTTAAGTTATTTTCATTTAAATATATGTATAAAGAAAATAAAAAAAATTGGGCGTGATCCACACCCCTAAAATGTGATGGTGGTCTGTTGGGTTGTGTTGGGAACAAAAAAAACTAACGTGGCACTAAGTTGAACGATGTAATGGATCACACCACACCCAATAGCCTTATTACAGTTACATGTTAGGTGACTTGCGTCATGACCTTATCTTGGATGTGAAGAATTGTCCTTTCACTCCTGCCCTTTTACAATCAATGGCACATGGAAACTGTTTTTTATGGTCAAATCTGCCTAACCAGACAATCCTACACAAAGTCTTTCTTCTTCATCAATTTCTGTTTCAAATATATCACTCCTAGTTTTGAACTACATGGACAGTTCTTGACTATGACCACATGCTTCTAGTTTTAAAAATTTCTAAAAAATAATAATCAATGACGACCATACTTCTTCCTAGAAATAAATGTAGGGGTATTAGTTGAAACACTCAAAATATGGACATGTGCCATTCCAAGAAACCATTCTAGTGCACACAATGATGTCTAAAGAGTATTTTTATACAGATGAAAAAAAGAAGCCATTGTCTAGACTCTAGAGATTCGTAAAATAATTACTAGTAGCGGGGAATCACTAGATGGCATCAAAATCCCCAATCACAAAGTCTTACCATCTAATTCTGGATTCAAATCGTGCTTGCTTTTGCTGCTCCTCATCTTGGCTTTCACCTTTGATTTTGTTACAAGGGTTTCCATTGTGTTGATGAAATTCCCAATCGCCATCACTATTAGGAGGACTCCACAGGTAACAACCTGGCATTGGATAAACCAACATTTTTTTATACAGCTTTAAAGCTTCAGACTTGCACATATGAGTGGCAATTTGCAAATAATATCGCTCTCACAGTTTTTGGTAAGCCATGGACTGCTTATGTTTGCAAGTTTTAGGCAGATTCTGTACTCCCCCGTCCCAAAATGATCTCCCCATGTAAACATGACACGTATTATAATTGACAATTGGGTGAAATGGATTATTTATTTGGGAAAAATGACTATTCAATAAGATTTGGGGTAATATATTTAATTGGAGTGAAACTGGACGGCCAAAGATGGTAAGAAGGAAGTTGATTCTGGGACGGGGAATATGTTAATAAGGTATAATTTTAGCGGAAGCTCCAATTGGTATCCACATACATAATATATTCTATTAATGCTAGGGGTGCACCTAAGAAGACATTGTTGAGAGTAATTTTTGTATTAGACCCTCACTTTATGCGCTATAAGTAACAACTATACAGTGAGGATAGAAGAGAAATTACTCTCAAAATGTGATTCGAGGTGTCATACCAAACTGTACATTTAGAAAGATTCTTAAACACTTTCACTATCCATATTTTAAACATGCCACATAATCTAGAAACTATCTTTTGATATATCACAAAGCAAACTACATTGCATTATACTCTCCGTAAGTTAGAAGGATTTATTTACCTGCCACTCAGATACAACACCCATTGCAGCAGTTTTGAGCAACAAGACCCCAACATATGCTTCAAACACCTGAAGACAAATAAATTACATCAGAAAACCATGTTCTGATGATAGAAGTTGCATATTGCATGCTTTGATTCACAGAATACAAAGAAAACGTTCCATGTTCTTCTGTTTGGAGTTTAGGATAACACTGCCGCCAAAATGCATCAGCGCACCTTGCAAGATCGAGTGACCATTTATCTAAATTTTTTGAAGATAAAAGAGAAAACAATAGCATTGTGCCATTGTGTAATAGAAAAATGCTTGTGTACACCAAATTTCATTTTTGCACTTCAAAGACAACAACAAGATTTGTGTGTGCATCACAATAACAAAACCTGCCTGTTCATCACACACAAAATTTGTGAAGTGCCAAGGTGTTTGGTACATTTGTCTGTGAAGTGCAAATTTGAAGTTTGGTGTCCGCTAAGCAAACATTACCCTTGTGTAATAAAGAGTACATGCTGACTTGGGATGTGAATTATATTTTGATGTTATCATGTTAATGTTAAAAAGGACAACTGTTGGAGATGACTGAGTGACAGATAAATAATAAACTTCATAATTATAATGTGTTTTTTAATAAAGTTATGAATGCATTGTATTCTTCATTGGCTTTGGAATGTGGGGTTAAAATAAAGTATTTTTTTAGTAATGGACAAATTAATAGTGTATGATTAAATATGGAGCAATATGTGAAGGACTTCAAATAGTCTTATGTGATCATAGTGGGGATGATGATGATTTGGTACTTGCATGAATTTAGTATTTCAAACTACAAGTCTCTGGAATCTTTTGTTTGAGTTATATTACACCTGTATAACTATTTACTCTGGGTATATCATATATGAGCAATAAAGAGATCTACAAATTTATATGGTTATATCAATATCATTTATGCATAAATTTAAGTTTAATAATTAGTTAGTACGGAGTAATTATTTTCCCTTTTGTAGCGCATAATATTATTATGCTAAATTATAATCACGAGGTCTTATTTGTTTCCTTTTTGGATCAAACAGCCCCTAGGTCATTAGTTTTACGGTTTTACCTCGTAACATTGTTAATGACTTTTTGTGAGATTACAATATATGATTAAATGCCGAATTGGCAATCATGATGAAGCCAGTATCGTGGCATTATGCAAAAATAAGTTATGGAGTATTCTACAACCAGCAGTTCCCACTTTGAACAATGTTAATGTGGACATCCTCATCCAGAAACAGAAAACTCGGCATAAAAAAAATAACAACAATTGTAGAGACGAAATTCAGTATGTGATAGCCAAAAAGCAAATGAATTACCTGCATAACAAATAGAATGGGGAATAGAAGCAACAACTGCCCATTGACCCCAGCTGTTTCTCCCCAAACAACATCCATTCTTCTGGCCTAAAAATGAAAATGAGAAATGAAGATCTTGACTACAATGTGAATGAAGACCCAAATATTAAATTGAAAAGAAACAGATTGAAAACCATCTGATTGAAAGGTTATTGAAAGCCCTGTAATTCGGTATGAATAGAAGAAGATTCATAATGGGAGGTAAATGTACACGAACTAGTATAATCACAAGTAAGAAGAGCGTACAGAACAACAGAAATACAGGCTATTTCCTAGAGCTGAGGCAAAACTTTACCTTTCCCAGGGCAATACGTGTGTACAATCTTTGCCGCTGATATCTATTCTGTAGAAGCATTGCAAAACCTTGCATAGTTGCCCATCCCAGGAACAGTTGTACTCCTCTCTGCAGTTAACATTTAAATAAGAGAGAGAAAGTGATAAGGAAAAACAAGTAGATGACCTGACTAATGAATGCAAGCATGTTGTTTATATAAAACCTGCTTCTGGGAACAATTGGGCCCCCTTTCTATTTCCCAAGTAAGACTGATAAGTGCCATAGCCATAGCAAAATAATGATGATATACCCACCTGCAAAAGAACAGTTAATGTTTATCTAATATGGAAGAAATCCAAAATCAATATGTAAGAATAAACAACAACAACAACAACAATCCAGTTGGGTCCCACAAAAAAGCAGGGTCTGGAGAGGGAGGGTGTGCGTACGCAGACCTTGCCCCTACCCGAAAGTAGAGAGGCTGTTTCAATGAGACCATCGGCCCAAACTGCACATAAAAAAAATCACAATAGATACATAAAGCAAGGAAAGCACAGATACAACACAATTTTGCACCAAGCACAAATAAAAACTAACCTATAAAGTTACGAAACGAGAGTATTGCAAGCAAATAGTAAAAAGCATTAAACATAAAAATCCCACAAACCACACGACAACAACACCCCCTAGCTCAAGGCACCTACCTAGCTACTCTAATCCTATTTGTCCAAATGCTCCTATCTAAGGTCATATTCTCAGTGAGGGCAAACTGAGGTAAATATGTTATAACAAAGAAAACAAGGTAAATATGGTAAACGGAGCATCCAAAAGCAACTAGATTATCATCCTTGCCCACATCCACAATATTAACCTCTAACACACAAATTCCAAGAAAATATTTGAGTCACTGAGACGAACCAACAAAAATGTGATCATAGAAGTTGGTTGGGCAATCTGGAACAGCCATACTTGTTATCTAATGTCTAAGCACGTGAGGCTTTAATATAAAACCAACTTTATGGGAAAACGACAAAGCATAGAACTGCTTAGGTCAACACACTAGAGTCAAGCAGAGTGAGGTATGATCATCATCATTAACTAAATTCAATCGCAAACGAGAGGCCTCTGTCTCTTCCATCTTATGAAGGTCAAGCATGAGAAGGCAACACTTCCACTTTAATCAAAAAACAAGAGATATAAGTTTTCACTGGTAGTCCAGCATTAGAAGGTCTACTCACTGCAGAACAAATGTGATAACACTAGAGCTTTGTAGGAGACATTCACTTACCATGGTCGAATATCACTTCCATTCACTCTTAGAATGTTTTCCCGCAAAGCCAAACATGTATAGAGGAAAAGCAACCATGCCTGAAGAATGAACAACACCAATTCATGAGTTAATTTGATGGAACAGATTGTTTTCAAAAAACATATGAAAAAAATAACAGATGCACAACCTGGTAAAGTTGGACTGGCAATGCAGGCAGGCATCCATTCCAAACCCAAAACCCCAATCCAAGCAGCAATAATGGGAATACGAGAAAGAGAAATGCTGTCCGATCCTGTTATTCAGAGAGATGGTAACAATATAAAAATGCCCTAGAAATTCAAACAGTGCTGGAAATATGTCATCTTGTTTGTCATCTCTGCTCGGGTAACTGGTTAGCCCCTAACCCTTAACCCCAGTAACAAAATAAAACTTCTGATAGAGGCTATGAGTAGATACAATCTCTCCAATTATAAAGTTAATTCTCTGATTCAGCTACTCAGGTTTCATAATAAATTACAAAATCATTTACTTATAAGAGAAAGTAAATTTAATCAATATATATGTGGAAACATTCCACCCAATAATTTTAAATGAAAAATAAAAACAAAAAAGAACATCATGATAGTGGATGGGCACAACATGTTAGTGGGAAAATATTTACTGTAACTTCTATACCTCATAAAATTTACCATTTCAAGTACAACATAAAAAGGCACAACACTATCAACTACAACATGTCAACACCCTTTCTATGGTAGGCAGATTTTATTTTCCAAAGTGAAGGACGTACTCTGAAACTGTTGTACTCCTCTTTCACTTTCAGCTGAACATCCTTCCTATTAGCACGAACATTAATTGGCCCGAGGAACATCCTCAGCAAACGACCTATAACCAATCACAAAAATGAAGCAAAAGTAATTAACTAGAACTGTCAGTCAATACAGTTCAAGTGGATAGGTAATAATTAAACAACAACATCAAGACCAGGAGATTTGCTTGGAAGATATGTCGCCGCATCTCCGTCGATCAATGAACCCCTAGCTCTGCTCAGTTCCTCACCCCACTAAAACAAAGACGAAAAAATTACAGAACACAGACCATAGATATAAGCAATAATCATGTACAAAACTCTGAAACAACAACCCAAATTATCATCAAAAAGAAGACAAACATGCTGGAAAACAGATATTATAAACATGCAGCGGGAAAATGCACAACAACAGAAAAAGAAGCAATGCATGTACCTTTTCAGCTTGTTTGGAATCAAATTTCTGAGATCGGATAGAGCTGCTTAGTCTTCGGATGTGAGAATCGAGAGAGGCGGCTCGCTGGCGGAGGGGCTCTTCCATGGAAGCAATAGCAGCTATCGCTAAAGCCGCATCTTCCTGCAACTTCCGAGCTTGCTCCAAAACTCTATGAACCTCCTCCTCGTAGTTCAAATCCGTGGAGTCGCCCATCGGATCGCAGCCAATCCAATCCCTTGATTCGACGGCCTCCGTCCGAATTAAATCAATCGGAAAGCCGTGTGCGGCCGGCGTTGTTGTGTAAACGCCGCAGACGAAGGAATAGAGGAATATGCTGCGGCGGATGTGTGGTAATGAAGCGGCGGAGGAGAGGAGATTGAATGAAAGAAGCAGATTGGATTGAATGGGGGACAACGGACGGCCCCGCTTGCTGGCGGCAGTGGAAGGGACGGGACGGTGATGTAGTTTTATTCCACTTTCCTGCGATCCTTATTTCCTATTCGTCGGAAAATCATTCAGCGATTACCTCATTTTTTTTACCCCAAAAATCTATACGGCCTCATCCGATTTAGCTATTTGTATACCATAGTTTAACTTTTGCATCTCGGGAGTGTAATGTTATACTTCATAAAAACTCAAAATGTTAACCATTATTTTATTTTAGTGTGAACTATTAAAATGTTAGTATAAACATTTGGTGTAATTTTAGAGTACACATTTAGGTGTAAGTGTAACAAGGTTGCTTTTACAAATGTCCTATAAAGGCTATAATTAGAGCTATAATGATGTTCCTAATTCTTTTTGTGGATTATACTTAGAGCATTAGCAATGGTAAGACAAAAATGGAATGCCACACGCTGACGTGGAACATTTCAATCAATAAAAAACAGTCCAGTCAACGAGTGGCAAGAGAGTGGAGTGGTATGCTCTGCAGTGGCAAGTCGTTGTTTTTATTATTCTTTTTTTATTTTTTTCCATATTTGAATTATTTGAAGTTACTTAACCTGTTTATTTTATCATAAAAATTTATTAACTCAAAATTATTTAATTTATTTTTATTCATAAAAATACTTTTACTTTTTTTATAAAAAAAACTTCTTTTTTGATGCAAACAAATAAAATGACAATAATTTTTTCTCGTTTTTTCTTTTCTTTAAATATTTTGATTATATGAAATTATTATTGTTATTTATTTTATCATAAAAAATGTTATACATAGTACTCCCTTGAAGTTATTTAAAAGTCTCTCTTACCAAAAAAAAGAAAAAAAGAAAAACAAGAACAAGAAAGTTCCTCGCGAATGACACGATAAGGGAGGAGGAATTCTATCTCCACGCACGGCACATAACCAAACAAGCTGAGGTGGCAGGGCGTGGGAATGCTTCTCCACACCACTGCACATGCTCTTAGGTAGGGGTGTATAAAATCCGGGTCGGACTGGAAAATCGGACCGGACCGGACCGGAAAAACCGCTTCCGGGCTAGACCGGTAAAATTCCGGACTGGTCTTCGGTCTAAAGATTTTGGACCGGTAAAATTCCGGTCCAAGACCGGATCGTTTCTGGGTCGGACCGGTAAGACCGGGTTGTCTATTTTTTAAAAAAAATGCATACGTATGATACGGAGTTTACGTATAATTATAAATACAATTGTATATTTTCATTTGTTCTTCTTACTTTAATATGAAGAATAATTTTTTAAATGTAATTTGTATTTTTTAACTCATTTCATTGACCTTTACCCAAGAATATCCATAATTATAAAAAACTAAAATTATTTCCCAAAAATTGAAGTAGAATCTTTCGATTTAAAGTGTTAAATACTTTGACGTATAAATTAGACTTGCTAAAACCAAAGTAATTTAAAGTAAAACTTTATAATATTTTTGAAATTTCAAAACTAACGGAAGTATAAAAATCATTTTACACCTATTATATTGTTGATAAAAATATTTTATATTAATATAATTTCTTGAAACACACCCAATTTATATAAAAATTAAATGTAGGGTTGAAATCAATTCGAATCAAGGTACAAATTTGAAAAACAAGTTTAAAAAATAGACAAAAAGAAATAGAAAAAAATAAATTCCGGGTTTTCCGGTTTTTACCCGGACCGGACCGGAAAAAACCGGTCCGGTTTCCGGTCCTATGCTTTAGAGGATTCCGGGTTTCTGGTTTTTCCGGTTCCGGTCTGGTCCGGTCCGGTTCTGGACCGGTGTACACCCCTACTCTTAAGACAAAGATGTCTCTGAATGTTCTCAAACGATTCATCTCTCATTTAAGTTATTTTAAAATAAAACATGCCAATTATTAAATAAATAGTTTATAGGTTAAAAATTATCTATCAGCAATAAGTGAGTAAACATCAACACAAAGAAATATCTCAAAAGTGTCAAAAATGTATCTTTGAAGATAATGAAAATTTATAATAATTGAATCTATTTTTAAGATATAATTTGATATATCAATATTTATTTTAACATTAATTTATTAATGATCCAAGTGCGTAGACAAAAATCGACCTTGAAATTTTTTGAGGCAGGAGTAATATTTTTTTCACAAATTATACTCCGTACTTAGTACTAGTAATATTTTACAAAAAAAGTCACACATCTAGTATGGAGTAAATACTTCGAAACCAATAAATGATGCTAATGCTTTAACAATTTTCACATGTTTATATGTGTGCTTTAACTGTTTCGTCTCATAAAAAGGTTTGACATGAAAAAATAATGCAATATAATTTTTTTTTCTGGAAGAGAGAGCACATGAATATTTTTAATAGAATTTCGAATAAGTTATACGGTGCACATTTTCTCTCACAAATAGATTTTCTAGACGAATTATGACTTTAAATTATTTTCAATTTTTGTTGAATTATTTGTACTACATACTTGAAAACTCTTCCTGTTTTGATTTTTTTGTCAAACAATAACACTTTTTTATTACAAATTAAACATAATTTAAATAAATAAATATTATTAAAATTTGATATATCAAAACTACTCGGTATATCCTAGGATGAATCTAATTTTATTAAAATTTATATTATGATTCAATTTTTTTTACAATTTATAGTAAAAAACTATCACTGTTTGACCAAAAAATCAAAACAAGAATAGTTTTCTAGAACGGAGAGAATATAAACATTAAAGAAAAATTTACAAAGTACTCGGGGTATATATTTGTAAATTACATAAAATCTATGAAAAATTATATGACAATATTATTTTAACAAATGATTAAAAATACATAAAGAAAATTGACCGGTAAAAAGTAAGTGATGTGAGAGGGGGAAAATGGTTTTGCCATCAGAGATACTCATAGGGAGTGAGAGTCCATATTTTTTTATGAAGATAAGAGTCCATAATTTAATTTTGTTTGATCAACCCCTACTTTTTTCAAAGGGAAAACATTGAAACTCTTTATATTTACCTTTCTGGGCATCTAATAAAAACAGGTCAAGACACTATCAAATATCATTTCTTTTGCGTTTGTATTTTGTTGTTCACATGAAAACAAAAGCATGCCACATGGTCAGAGTATAACACTTGTCATCTTTTTTTTTTTTTTGTTGTGTCATTTCCTTCACACAAACAAAAAGCTCTTTGAGTGTCACTTTACCCAAAGAATTTCATCAACAATGGAACCACTTCTTTCTTTCTTTCTTTCTTTCTCTCATGCCCCCATTTCATCCATCCAATGGCTCCTCAAACTTAGCTCTGGTGCTAAGAACCTCAAAGGCACTGACAAGATTGTGAAGCCTGGCAACAAACTCAACCAACAACGAAGTAAAAGTAGACAAAGACAAAGGGCTCGCGCTCTCATAAGTCCGCACCTCGCGCTCATTAAGGATCATGTCTCCCAACACTGAAAGCCGCGAGGGCCAATTCGTCTGCTGCTCCAGTTGAGTGTCCATGTGCTTCAGCGTCTGCATGGACCTCATGTTGAGAGTGGCTTCGCTCAGGGAGTTTATGAGCATCGGCTTCTGCTGCTGGCTCTCCTTGAGGTCTAGGAGGTCTTCTGGGTCCTCCAAGTTCTTGGGCCGTTTCACACTCTCCCAGTTCTCGGCGTTGACCAGCAAGTATGACTTGTGGTCAACCAGCATCTGCAACTCCTCTGCAGCCTGGTGCACTTCCTTGAGAATGTCTTCAACGTGTTGGCCCAGTCTCTCCATTTTCTCCACTTTCTCTCCCAGGTGCCTTATCACTTTCGCTCCCGCGTTCCCAACTCTCTTAATCTCCTTCCCAAACACATGCCTTAGTTCCGGCGCTGCCTGTGATATAGAGAACACATATTAGTGTGGCAGGCAGCAAGAAGAAGAAGAAGAAGAAGAAGAAGAAGAAGAAGAAGAAGAAGAAGAAGAAGAAGAAGAAGAAGAAGAAGAAGCTAACCTGTATCTCTGAAAGAATACAACTGTGCATAGCCATGACCATGAAGGCACAATGCCTCAATGCGCCGCTAACTTTGACATATTCACTCCATGGGTACTTGAACATTTTGTAACGGCCGTGGGGCGGTTCCCAGACTGCAAAACTCAACAGAGAATCTTCTTGGCTGGTGGACTCTAAGGCAGACCTATACCCACTGTACACAGGGTCATCCCATGCCTGATAGAGAAGAATTTTCGAAGGTACCCTCTCGTATTCAACAGATTGCAGATAACCATTCACACAACCTAATAAAATGTGTCAGTGGTTAAGTGATAGCTAATTCCCCTGTCCGGCAGTAAATCAAAGACAGTCTCTTTGACCCCTCATTAATGGATGCCGTGTGTCCTGCAAAATGATCATTTCAGCTATTTCAGTCAAATTCTATGAATCTTATCAGATTCATATTTACTAAAACAATTGTCCATTACATCGTGTTCGAATATGTTTTGCTCTATTAATTTGCTAAACAGACAACTATTGGTTAATGAAATGTGTTTAGTCAACGGAGAGTAATTTGAGAATGAAAGGGGTAGTTTATTTGAATATTCTACTAATGATAAAATCTAGCTAATACCGATAAAATTTGACTGAAATAGCTGATGTGATGATTCATTTGGAGGACACTTGGCACATATCTAGCCAACCTCCAAACACCAAGCCGAACGGACTCTGAAAGACTCACAAGACGGGGGGGGGGGGGGGGGG